TAAAAATTTTGAAAAATCATGATTTAAGGAGTTAATTTCCTATAAAAGTAGATGGGCAAATCCAAAAAGCTATCGACTAATATCTTTCTTCTCACTTGTAAGGCAGAGTTGATTCATGCTCCCTCTCTCTGCTTTTAAGAGCTGTTCATCTTTATGATCCATTCTTTGTAAGGCAATCAAACAATATTTAAAAAGTATTTACTTACCTTTGCAGCTTCCAGGAAAACAGTGTCACAAATATGGCGGGCACCACTGAGAATAACAGCTAAAGCCACACCTAGAAAACATTTGCAAGACCTCAGTTAGTAAAGTCACTTTTCACATTATAAAATTATGAAAGGAGCCAAATAAGCACCTAGATCTGAGCCTAAAAATGGTAACCCACCTCTACCCCAAATGCTGTTTGTTGTTATGTGTCATCGAGTCAAACCTGACTCCTAGCGACCCCTCCTTGGGTTTCCGAGGCAGTATCACTATGAAAGTAGATTGCCCCATCTTCCTCTGAGGAGTGGCTGGTGCGTTTGAACCACCAGCCTTCTGGTTAGCAATCAAGTGCCTTAGGCACTAGGCTACCACCCCAAATACCTTCCCCTAAAACAGAAAGCAGCCAAGGCAGAACAGAAAGCTAACACTGAAAATGGAATCCAATGAACACTGTTAACTGCTACAATTCTTTTTCACAGAAAGAAACCATTTTAGAAATATCAAACAGCTTTTCTTTTACATTTATCTGACCTATAAATGCACACAAATCGTGGAGGCTTGTCACAACAGTACAGTCCCAGCTCAACTCTCATCCTGCACTTCTTGTTCTACAGAGGCAGGTACTTTTCATTCTTTCAACTGATCATCTTCCTGTTTACCTTGCTCTCTTACACACTGCTATCTCTCTCTTCTGACTGAGTTTCCAGTTTGAGAGGTTACCTACTGACTCTGTGGGAAGTGTGTGTTCATCTCTCCTTTATACTTCTGCCCTTCCTCCTTCTTCCCAATACAGAGCGTAACTTTGGTTCAATGAATATGCAGCGTTGATAATGTTACAACTTCATAAATGGTATTCATAGCTGAGCTATGCATTAATACCATATCGTGGTTACTTTTCTTTTTCTGCATAACTCTGTTTCCCTGAAGTTAATCATTCTATTTTTCTGTACTTTGTTTTTTCAGTACTTAACATTATTTTACCTGGCACTCTCATTCAATGGTCTAAGCCTTCTAGAAAGAGCTCTGGTAGCACAGTGCCTAAGACACTTGCCTGCTAACCAGAAGGCTGGCGGTTCAAACCCACCAGCCACTCCTCGGAAGGAAGGTTGGGCAATCTGCTTCCGTAGTGATACTGCCTCGGAAACCCAAGGAGGGGTCACTGTGAGTTGAGTCCGACTCAACAGCACATAACAACAACAACAAGCCTTCTAGAATCTGAGTTCACACAGTCTCTAAATTCCTTCCAGAATCAATCTCTGCTGAAGCCTTCTCCCTGCTCCATTCGGTCTAGCTGCTCTCCATTCCAGGAATGGAGCTGTCATTTTAGAAAATTTGCAATTTCCTAACTTCCACTTCCTCACAGTATTTCGTTACTTCCTCTCTTTTGGTAAAGTATATTCCCCTGTGGTTTTCAGAAAAACAGCACATGGGAGATGAATTTTCTGAAATCTTGCATTCCTGAAAATGGCTTTTACTTCTATTGATTTGATAATTTGTCTGGGTTTAGAATCTAGATTGGAAAGAATTTTCTCTCAGAACTGTGAGGCATTATTCCAATACCTTCTAGCTTCCAGTGTTACTGGTGAGAAGTCCAGTTCCAATCTGATTCCAGACCTTTATAAGTACTATCTTTTTGTTTCAATTGTGTACGTAATGTTCTGAAATTTTACATGATATGCCTTGAGGTGTGCTATTTTCATGTACCATGGGCCCCTTCTATCTGGAAATGTGGGTCTCTCAAGTTTTGGGAGATGTTCTTCAAATCTACATTCTCTCTCCCTAAAATTGTCACTAATCTGATACTGTACCTCCTGGAACAGTCCTCTACTCTTCCTCTTCTTTTCAATTTTCTATTTCCTGTTCTTCACTCTATTTCTAGGTGATTATCTCAGCTTTTTCTTCTATTTCTTTTGCTATCACACTTTTAATAATTTTAATTTTCAAGAGCTCATTTTTGTTTTCTAAAATAAAATTTTTTTCAACAGACTTCTGCTTCCTTGTCTCAGGGATACAGTATTTTCTTTTGTCTCCAGTAGGATATTGATAGCTTTTTTCTTACTTTAGACTTTCCTTCTCTCCACAGAATCCCTGTTTTTTCCCCCAAAGTTGCCTTTTTTGTTTGTCTGCTTTGGACTCTTACGAAATAAATCCTAGAAAGAATCTCCAGAGATACGTGAGATGATACTGCAACATCAAGAAAAAAGCCACTATTAAAAAAGAACAATTGAAGAATAAGAAAAAGTTGTTTGGGATTTAAAAAAAAAAAAAAAAAGATTGCTGAACTGATGATATATAACAAAGTATTGCGGGTATATCATAAAAAATATTTACTTTTTCGGAGGTACATACTGAAGTACTTATGAAATTGTATGTCATGTCTGATTGCTTTAAAATAAACTCGAGTAAAGGTGGGGACGGATGGAAGGGAGCACAGATAAAATAACATAAGCCTGGCTACGTGCTAGGAACTGAGAAAAGGTGAATGACTGGAGCACAGCACTTTGAAGTATCCTGCTTCCATTCGTGTTTAAAATTTCTATAATAATAGTAAAAACTGTTGAAGTAAAGATATAGATGGAGGAGGATATATCACAGGAGAGTTACAGAATCAAAAAAGCAGACATGAAAATGTGAAATAAAATTTATAAGCCAAGACAATAGAGGGATCTGACCATGGTCTAGCAAAAGTTCCACAAGGAAAAACCAGAAATAATGGGGGGAAAGAAATAATTAAAGGAAAAATTCCTTTGAAAAAGATGACGTATGTTTTTATAGCAAAATGGCCCACCTATGCTCAAGCATAAGAAAATGAAATAAACCCAAATCTAGATGTATCTCCTCGAGGACTAAGGTGCGCCTGACACAAGTCATGATATTTCCAATCGCCTGGTATGCATGTGAGAGCTGGACAATGAATAAGGAAGACCGAAGAAGAGTTGATGCTTTTGAGTTGTGGTGCT